AAAAAAAAAAAAGATTCTTATGATTCAATAGTGAGTAACTGTTATGACTAATTGTGACTGTCACAATTGTAAATGTAGAAGTTTTGTTACAAAAATGTGGGAGTAGTTAATATTACATACCAGGAACAAAAGACCCTAGGACCATCAAGGGAGAAGAGCACAAATGGAATGTGTGACCCTATCCAGAGAAGCAGCAACACCAGACATGGAGGCAGGGATGGGGACATGGAGAGAGGGAGCAGCTGAGGGCTTTATATTCATGGGAAGAGAGGGACTGAGAGCTGGTGGCCAGGAGGCAGGCTTGCAGAATGTGCCCTTTGGTGGTTTAAAATATATGCCTGAGTGTTGTTTTTTTAAAAAAGAGCTAAATGAATAGCAAGCAATACTGTTAACTGATGATACATGGAGGGGATTATAATCATTATAATGAAACAAAATATATGATTTGTTGAATGTAAAATTGATGACCTGCCCTTGTAAACTTTCACTCAATTCACAATAAAAACTTACAAAAAAAAAGAAGATGGAAGGAATACACAGAGTTGCAACTGTACCAAAAGAAATGGTCACTGTTCAACAACTTCAAGAGGTAGCATAGGATTAAGAGCCAATGATCCTAAAAGAAGTCCAAGGTGCACCAAAGGCATTGGCAAAGAACAAGGCACCGGGAATTGATAATAATACAAATTGAAATCTTTCAATAAACTGATGCAGCACTGGAAGCACTCACTCATCTAAGCCAAGACATTTGGAAGACAGCTACTTGGCTAAGTGATTGGAAGAGATCCATATTTCTGCCCATTCCAAAGAGAGGTGACTCAGTGGAATGCAGAAAACATCAGACAATAACATTAATATCATATGCAGGTAAAAAAAAATTTTTTTTAAGTTTTTATTGTGAATTGAGTGATAGTTTATATGTAAGAACATCAGTTTTGCACTCATCCTATCGTATTTCATTTCATTGCAATGATTACAATCCCCTCTGTGCATCATTTAACAGTATTTGCTTCTGTTCCCTTTTTTTTTTTTTTGGATGTACACAAAAACACTCAGAAATATATAATTACTTAAACAACCAAAAGGCATATTTTGCAAGCCTGCCTCCTGGCCACTGACACACAGCCTTTCTCTTTACTTGAGTCCAGAGTCCTCAGCTGCTCTATTTCTCCATGTCATCATCTCTGTGTCCATCTCTGGTGTCACTGCTTCTCTGGATAGGGTTTCACATTCCACTTGTGCTCTTCTTCCTTTATGTCCTAGAGTCCTCTGTTCCTGGAACGTAGCTTAAACTACTCCCATCTTTATGTTACAAAACTTCTACCTTTACAATTGTGACAATTGCAATTTGTCATAACAATTACTCACTATTGAATCATAAGAATCTTATCCCCATTCCTTTCACCAGACCCATCTAGACAAGATGAAAACTATTCAGTGGGGATTCTACCTTCCCCTGCACAGTCTGAAACTAAACTCTCTCTTTTTTGAGTGAAATTTAGCAGGGTAGATTATCAGTTTTACATTCAATAAACCATACACTTTGGTTCATTACAATAGTTATAATCCCCTCCATGTACCATCAAGTTAACAGTATTTCTCTCTATTCATTTTAGCTCTTCTGTTTGTTTTTTAAACACTCAGGCATATGTAGTAATTTAAACCACCAAAGGGCACATTCTACAAGTCTGTCTCCTGGCCATCAGCTCTCAGTCCCTCTCTTTCTAGAATCTAGAGAGTCCTCAGCTGCTCCCTGTCTCAATGTCCCCATCTCTGCCTCCATCTCTGGTGTCACTTCTCTGGATACGGTCCCACATTCTGCTTGTGCTCTTCTCCCTTGATGGTCCTAGGGTCCTCTGTTTCTGTATTGTAAGATTAACCA